CTAATTTAAGTGGTAGTTTAAAAGTACAGGAACAAAATGTTAAATTTCAGAGAGGGGTGTCAGCGGATGCATCTAGGAGACTGAACTCAGAGCAGTGGAAGAGAAATTGTAATTATCTGGTCAGATAATCACATGTGAGCATGGTGCTCGCATGCTTCATGGGTTTAAGCATCTAATCATCCCAGCACAGCATCGTGCAGGAAGGTGTAATAGAAGAAACTTGAGTGAGCACAGTTCTGCTTTCCTCCCACTGTCTTGTCATGATACGTCTGCCCCCAAATCCAAGGGGTCCTGTTCTCAGAATTCAAATATCAAAACCTTTCTAACCCACAGTAGTTAAGTGATTCCCCGAAGAGGAAAAAGCTCGCATCATTTGACTCCCCAGAATGGTCTTCTGAAATGTGAAGGTGTACAGATGTTTTTCTTATCGTCACTCTGTGTCAAACTCATTATACTAATTATCTATATAGTGTTTGCACTATATTTGACACCACATTGACTAATGATCTAAAGCATATGGGAAAGAGATGCCCAGGCCTTGTGAAAATAGAAGTTAAAGTATCGCTCTATGGGTTTTAGTGGGGAATGCAAGGGATCCTGAAACCAAATACATCAGTGACCTCCAGGCTGTTCTTCAAGGGGAAAAGTGAATTGGATGGTGGTGGGCTGTATAGTTTGTCTGAGGTCAGACTATCTCCTGAACCTGGTTCACAGACCTTCAGACTCATAGGTAATGTGATGACAGGCAGTGAAGCTTTTTAACATAGCAGCTTCACCTCATGGCGCCCACATTTGCAGATCTGCACAGCACGGTATATGCCCGGTTCAGCATCAGGGGTTTTATATACAAGATTACATTTAACCCTCCCTCCCCCCGCACTCTACAAGGCTTCAATTATATTCTCATTTTAGAGATGAGAGATCTGATCATCAGGAAAATTAAATTACTTTGCCAAGGTTGCAACTGAGATTCAAACACAAACATTCCTGGCAGTCTCCCCTAACTCGCTTACCAAGAAAATTCCATTAGTGCAGATGCCTAAATGCTCTAATTAGACTGTGGGCCTGATATCATTAGTCTGAACCAATATTCTGAGGAAGCATGCATGATACATTATAGGCATACATTATAGGCATCCACAAGCATCCATTACCCTGAAATGATGCATATACAAGCTTCTTAATAGTGCATTATTAAGAACAACAGATATCACCCCCTCCTGCCTTTGTTTTCATGGGATCCAAACTGACTTCACTTGTTTGTATTTTAGACTCTGGTGAATTATCACAGCAATTCGAGATCCCTGAGTTTCTTCCTCCAGGGCTATGGTAATCACTTCTGCCTCTCCTGAAGATCTGACTATCTGAAATCTCAGATTCATCCCTATATGATTCTAGGATAAGCTATGAGCCATGCTGACCAGGAGACAAAATGTAATGCTTGGCCAGTGGGAAAACTGTAACTATATATAAACCAAGGTTATAAAACGAAGCTGCACATGTGTTGCTAGAACTGATGTCAAGGAGTGTGGAGAGTTAGAATGTTACAGGTTCAGAGACAAACTTAACTGGTTATCTTAGACTTTCTAATGGACAATCTTCTACTATCCCCTCATATGTGACTTAAGATCCTGGTGAGGGGACTCTAAGCTGATCTATGGGACTCCGTGGGACAACTCCACTAAAACCCACTTTTACTCTCCAATGTCTTTCCCACCGCCTCTCCTCACTTACCTTAAATATCAAAAACTACACCCTTCTGTGTCCCTGTTCTGTTCTTCTATTAACTCTTCTATTAACGTCATCCCTTCTTCTTAATAAATTCAATTCAAAATTCATTCTAAAACTCCTCTTGGGCCTCCTGACTCATACCTCTAAATATTCCTTAAATAAAAATTTTGATTCTTGTATCTGCAGTCCCTCTGTAGTCTGCCCGATAACTTAGATTGACTCAGCCTATTATGTAATACATTGCATGGACTTACGTGGACAATGACTTCCTGATACTGAATCCTAATACCAGCCTCTGCTGCAGACACACACCTGGCAGCGCCCTATAAGATAAACAGTGTCTGGATACTGTGTTCCAGCTCAGCTCAAAAGCCAGGGACTCAGATTTGATATCCATTACACACACACACACACACACACACACACACACACACACATATACACAGCTTCCCACATCTCCTCCTTCTCTTTCCTATCCTATAAAATCATGCCTGTATCCAATCCCTCTGTCTGCCCCTCCCCACTCCTGTGTGTGTGTGTGTGTGTGTGTGTGTGTGTGTGTGTATGTGTGTGTGTGTACTTGCAAATGTTAAGAATGTTAGAATGTCTGCCACTTTAAGATACTGGTCCCTCTAAGATATCACATCTGTGGCCTGCAGAAATCAGGCACACTGGATTACCAGGGAGCCCTGAGTTGAAGATGGCAGCAGGACTTTATTGGCCAGCAAACAGCCAAGGTTGTAATCTAATATGAACAGCCATCCAGACACATGCGTAGGCAACAATTATATAGCAATGGCAAACAGTCCATGGTGCCTGGATAAATCACTCGGTTCTGTTATCATCAAGAGCTATTATTTTAAATAGTATTACCACTGCTCAGCTAAGACCCTGTTACCAATAAATGAATGCTTCCAGGTGGACTCAGTTTGTTTGTTTTTCTGGAATGCAGATGAGGGAACATTTTCTGGGACCCTTTTTATCTAGGTGTGTTTTGGGAAGTTCATTTAGTAATCAACTCCTGAGATAATGTGTGTTTTGGCGTGCATATCACATATGAACTTGAACTGCCCTTCAATTTGAGCTCTGTCAGCCATTCTGTGGATCTGTAGTCAGTGGCGTGGTAGACTTTTTGCAAGGCAAAAAAGAGCAAGGGTCAGTAAATCCTTAGCCTCAAAAGCTAAGCTTCCCTGTGCACCCAGTTTCCAGGCATCACCGCCATTTGTTAAAAGCAGAATGGCTGACTTAGCAGCTTTTCCTCCCAATTGATTTTCCTTTCAAACTCAGATCTTTAATATAATTCCTTTCTGTTCCCCTCTAAGAGTTCACTCATCCCCTTGGCTTCGAGAGATACCGCTGAATTTATCTGTCCTGTGCTTGTGCCAAGTCACTGTTCCCAATTTAAAGAAGTTTGCTTGGATAGAAGTTTTATTATTTAAGATAGGATGAGTCAAGAAAGCCCTTGCCAGGAAATGTCATCTTCCTGGAAAAACTCAAATCACAATTACCTCCAGCAACAATAGAGAGATAGAGGCTCAGAGGAGATAAAACAGATAATTGAACGTTACAGATAAGCCTCAAAACTCCTGTCAGCCAAAATCTTCAGATGTATCCTACACCCAGCCAAGTTCTCCAGAGTGGATGATAAGCTGTAAAACATGACTTGAGATGCATTATCTTTTATTGGTTTTTTAATAATTGGAAGCTATTAGTGTTTTTAATAATCGGAAGCTATTAGTTTGGAATCGTGAAACAGGAGGCATGGAACACTGCTCTTTTTGAGAAGTTTCAGAAAGTCAATTTAGTTCAGCTGTAGCTATACCTCCTCATACATGTCCGTGGTCATCTGTCAGAGGGTTAAATTGGACTTTTAACTAATCTGCCACTTATACCCTCATTTATATTAGAAAACATAATTCATAATGGATTCTTAACAAAATGAAGAAATGCAGAGATTCAGAAAATGACTTCTATCCTTCGGTTCATACTTCCCTGTCAAAGAAAAGGAGAGACAGGGACAGAGCAGGAGCCTTATGGGAAACTTAAGGTACTGATGTCTGTGGAAGAAGATGCTCACTGAGGCAAACAGCAGATGAGTGAGTCAATAAAGGAGTCTCCTCACAGAACTTCTCAGAGGCTCAGTGAACAACCTACCAGGAAAGACACCTTGCTCACTGCCATCTGCAGATCCCAGAAGCCCCCACACCCAACTGAAAGATCGTCAATGGGTTGAGGATTTCCATCTGATAAAGGCTGTGCCAGTTCAGTCTTACGTAAGCAGAGTTTGGAAGCCAGGAAGCTCTGCTGCCCTCCCTCCCCAGCAACATTTTCCCTAATTTTAACCACTGGCCTCTTCTACAGTTCAGGTCCACAGTGGACCAACTGATACTGGGCTTGATGGAGCTTTGGTTTTACTAAGTCCCTTCTTTCTAGTGACACTCATGTCTGTTTTCTTGAGTATTTGGTCTTCCCTTACCCTATTTTATTTCATCTGACTATTGGTTCACATAAGTAAGAGGTATCTTAACCCATAACCTTAACACATGTAGCACCTACAATAACAGTTTATTATATATGCTGCCCAATAATGTCTAAACATCAATTGTGGTGTAGAAACTGATCTAAAGTAGTGATCAGAATACAAACAATGTCCAAGAAGTACTGTTTGGTGACATGAATTAACAATTAGCTGTGCATTCGAGGATATACAAGGAAGATAAACACCGACATAATTTATAGGTTGACTCAAACTACAGCTTCAGAAACAGTACTCCCTTATAACAGAATCAATAAATCACCCATCATCCCTACACTCCAGGATCATGGTCCTTGGTGTGACATCCTACAGTAGTTTAGGAGCTGAAGAGACAAGGAGGCCCTTCCTGAGAACTCTGCTGATGATCCAGAGCATGCTGGAACCATTTAACAGAGCAAGCTCCACTAAGAAATTTGTGGAGGTTCCCAAGTTTCTCGATGTTTGTGTGTCAACCTTCTGCAGATCTCATTTTAGATAAAGCTGAGACTACTGAGGTGCGTAAACCAAGAGCACACATGTCAGGACACCCAGCTTCGCAATCTCCTTCACCGTTCCCATTTCCTTTGGTTCATAGAGATCATCACCAGGAGCTCCTGATCGTCACCAAGAGCATGTCCCTCTTCCTTTCTCCAGCTGCATTTCTGGACAGGAGGACCAATGACTACACATCAAAATATGGAGGAACCGAGACCAGAGAGACTCACCAGGTGCCTCTCGGGCACTGGTAACTTACAAGCTTCCCGGAGTTTCTCTTTGTCATAGTGGAGTCCTTCATAGTCTTGTAAACTGATTTTGTTCACGCGGATCCTCAGGCGATCTGGGACAGACTGGGGACTGCAAGACAAGAACCAAGTGGTCAGATATAGTGATGGAATGGAACTGGAAAGCGAGTAGGGGTCCTGGAGAGACTAGGAACGATCACGTCTCCTGTGGGTTAAAAGAAAAGGTTTGTTTACAAACCAGAAATGCACAAAAATTATCTGAGGAGTCCTTTTCTAGAAACCTAATGTAACTGCAATTAAGGTAAGAACAAAGGACTAGGGGGGAGAAAAGGCTCTGGGAAACATCCCTAGTAATATTTGCTATTAATTTGCCAAAAATTCAAATAAGATCATGTGTTTTGTTGTATAATAAATTAGACACACAAGTAATGAAAAATAATGAGAACATGTTAGTGCTACAAAATAGTAGTAAATATGTCTATAATAGTCAATGCTGAAAAAATGTTTTTAAAAGTACAAACTAGGCATCTAGAATACACAAAACCAAGGTTGAGATTTCTCATCCTGTTGAGGAGTCTTTGAAAGCACAGTGAAGGGATGGTATAACTGAAGCTGCCTGTGAGATGTCTTGAAAGGCAGCTCATAAGTCATGCTGAAAGAACTCATTTAGGCTGGCCCAGGACGTGCTTTAATTAGTTAATTAGGAAGCACCAAATTCACTGCGGCATCTCATTCACCTGCCTAGATTCTGTGCATGTGTCTTAAGTCACATCTTCAAGTGGTTTGATCCTAGGCCTGAGTTGAATGAAAACAAACTTAACTTTTATCCCCTCCTCTGTGGATCCATATATTCCTTTTGGTCCATGAGAATTACTTTAGTTTCATTGGTTGAAAGAACTTTCTCAAACACAAGAATGCTGCTTATTTGTTTTAATCATAAATGGTAACAAACATTGCCAATAAGAGAAAGGGAGAAAGTTAAAGTATTTCAGTGTAAGTACATAAGTATACAAATTCTAAGGAGGCTAGCAGGTTGACATACACAAGGTTCACTGTATGAAAAAGACGCCAATACAAAACCACACAGAGGCTAATCCAGAGCAAGCCCTGGGGACCATGTGATGGCTGGATGGTCCATCACTCAAAGTACGGACCATTGGGTGGATAATCTACTGACATTGTGCTGGTTATGGTAAAGGCACGGGGGAATAAACCTGACATGAGTATGTTAGTCATAATAAGAAGAGATCTAGTTTGATGGAATAGCTACAGATTAGTAGGCCAGACCTCAAGTTTCACATGCCTACAAGCATCATTTCATCAACAGATAAAAACTGTGGTTTCAAAATATATGATTTTAAGGTCATATAGCTCTATAGGGCAGAGGTAGTTCCCCACTCATCATTCTGACCTTACTATTATATAATACTCCTCTGAGACGCTGAGACCATGAGAGTACAGATAAATAATACCAAGAGTCCTCATCTAAGATAGCAAAGCCATTACATGGTTTAGCTGGGTCAGCTGATCTCTCCCTGGTGTTGAGCAGGTTTTCTGTATCACTAAATGATTTCCGTGAGGTTCATTAAGTGAACTGCAACATATTCTAGCAAGAAAACATGAGACAGGAATTGTGAATGGATGCACAGATCCATATTGACTGAAAGGGAAATCTGACCACAACATACTTTAAAGTATAAAGATAATGGAAAACTACATATGGCCTTAATTCCCGCACTTAACTTGTAGGACTTAGAAGTCTGTGGATGTTTAAGACATGTCTGCACATTCTATGATGACAGGCAGGGGTGGAGTGGGTTCTGGGTGAACCTTCTTTAGAGAGATGGTGGATCAAACACCACTGAGCTCTGGTTTTCTTTGGTAGTATAGAGGCAACAGGACTAGACACCTCGTTAGAAAAGCAGTTGCCAATTCTAGACAGAACATAGAGAACTGTTGGCCAGTCCTTCCTTCCACTTCCGTGGGTAACACCCAGCCCAGCCCCATCAGAGTCTACTCCCTGTCTGCCCACATTTATCTCCCAACTTCACATTTTGCCCACTGATTCAACCCCACCCAATGCTGCCTCTGGAAAGACTAAGCTCCAAATTTTCATGAAGCCCTCTACGGTCGTACTATACAATCAATTCTGTGAAGAGAGTTTTGTAGATCCCAAATGAACTGGCATACTATTTCATTTCTTATCCAGGACAATCAGCTAAGCGACAACTGTGTCACTGAGCAGCATTGGATTCTCTTATCCATCCACCTTCTTATTGCTGTTAGCTCCCACCTTCTTACAACTACTTACAACAGACATCAAGAAGAGCTTGCTTAAGTCAAGCCTTCTAGCTAAGCGATCATGTGTACAGCTTCTTAGTAAATGGATGACTTAAAAACCTTAAAAAAATTGTTGGCTTAACTGAAACCCATTAATAATTTTTAAGGCACCAGACCATGGACAAAGTAATGGAAATTCCCTTCCAATCATTCTTGACCCTTGCCTAAGCAGTAGGTGTGAAACAGGGGGCAACAAGTCCAACTGTTGAGAAAAGCTGGACTCCAAAGCAGACTGACTGGATCTGAATCAAAGTTCTTCCACCTCCTAGCTCATCTGTGATTTAGTCTCCTCATCTGTAAGATGGTGACAACAGGACCAACCTCATAGGAACAGCATAGGAACCAATCAGTGCACGTGATACACTTTGAAAAGGTCCCTGGAATATTCTAAGTGTCAGAGAGGCAGTAGCTTTGAGTAGAGTCTCTTGCAAACATTCACTGTCTATAATTGTAATCCACTGTGATAATTGCCCTGATTGTTTCTCCCCTAAACAAGGTCCTGCCCAACAATAGCATCTGCTACTACTAGACACTAGAAGATTTAGAACTGATACGGGAATCTCCCTAGCCATTTCTAATTAGGGTCTTAGGGGGACACTGTCTTTCTCAGATGATGACATGACATTCCACACTCATGAATATTCTCCAACTTGGTATTTCACAAAGCCAGCTAACAGCAAAGGACTGGACAGCTAAAAACATAGGCGACAAAAAAAGTGCATTGAAATTAAGTGAAAGCCAAGCAATTCAATTTTATCCCTGTGTCACATTATATTAGTGTCCCATTACTGGCTGACTGAGGTGGAGGACAGCAAAGCTGTTCCCTGGAGTCTGGGGAATAGCCTGGCCATTAGTTTTCTAAAATTACATTTTGCCAAGGAAGTTAGTAGAGCATAGAAGAGGCTCCTAACTTGAGTATAAAAAAATCTGCCTCCATACCAACATCTACAGGCAACCCATACTGACTTAGGCATTGTATCAAGAGTTCTAAACTTAGCTTCCAGAGGGCACTTGAGTTTCCTACAAGAGAGCCAGAAATCTGTGAATTGCCCTTTCTTAGAGATGAGGACTGCAACCTGTCCTTTTCTCACTAATTTCTTCTGCAACCTTATACAGAGTCAAAAGTCACCATATAATCACCTCTCTTAGCTATACACCACAGAGCTGTTGCCTGGTGAGGTGGGAAGGGAAGGGACCATCATCCATTGCAACAATTCCCTGAATATTCGTTGCCATTCTCTTACTACTTTCTGTTCCTTCATAGATGCTGCTGGTGATCCCCCACCTCTCTCTCTCGTGTGTGTGTGTGTGTGTGTGTGTGTGTGTGTGTGTGCACGTGCGCATGCATTCGTGAATTAAACTAAAGGGAGACAACATTCAGAGATATATATCTATGAAATCAGTTGACCGAGAATACAATTATAGATAGTGAAAGTTTGCAAGAAACTTTACTCAAAGATGTTAAGTATATAAATCTTAAGTCATGTTGCAGACAGAAACCTTAAAGTTATATAATTATTCTACATGCTATACCTGGTGAATCTCCTGTCTTCATTAACATTTCTCAGATGGTTCATTTCAAGGTGCACTCGCTTGGAAAACTCATTATACAAGTCAATCGATTTTTATTCAGAATCACAAAGAAGATTGGTTTGCTTTGCCAAGGATTGTTTTACAATCACAACTGTGTCTCTTTCCACCTGCAGGCTTGATTTAATAATAAAAATGAAACCCTCTAAATTCTTTCAAGACATGTCAATACAAGGTTCTACTTAAGCCAAATCTAGGTACAATAAAGTGTGTTTCTAACTAATCTTTTTTGTTTTGAGATAGGATTTCTCTTTGTAGTCCTGGCTGTCTGGAACTCGCCTTGCTGATTAGGCTGGCCTTGAACTTAGAGAACCACCTGCCTCTGCCTCCTGAGTGCTGGGGCTAAAGGTGTGTACCACCATGCCCGGCTCTCTAACTATTCTTTAATAAAAGTTATTCAATTTGTTCTTATGTCATGATGAGCCCATAATTAAAATATTAATTATTAGCATAAAATCACAACAGGGATGAGTCACTTCCTCCTTGCAATTCCAGCACCTAGAGTGCCACCTTTCCCGCATTTCCAGTATTTATGGGTCACCCTGGACCACCATGGCCATGGGGCCTCAGGAAAGGTTGGCACTTTCACATTACTGCTTTCCACTCTGACATGGCTGCCCATTTCTGTGTTCTGTTTGAGCAGTAGATCAGGAGGCAAATCCACGCAGGGTTATGGCTTCCCCGCCTATCACTGTATCTCTAGTGGGATAGAGAGATGAAAAGAGATAGGTAGATAGATAGATAGATAGATAGATAGATAGATAGATAGATAGATAGAACCTAAATATAAAAACTTCCGAGAAGGCTTCTACAATAAAACAAATTGAGTCATGGTTTCTGAGCAGAGACTTAAAATGGAATTCTGACACCTGCTAACTCATTACAAAACATTCATCTTCAGTTATCTTCTGCTGGAGATGTGAAAAATGCCTCAGGATTCTAAAATTGTGAGGAAGTTTTTGAACTCGGTAAGAATAATCCAAAACTTACATTAACAGTGGCCATCATGTGATCCTACCACCAGACCCATGTTGCTGTTGAATCCTCCACAGCTTGCCCATGTTTCTGTATGGGGATGTAATACTTAGTTTTATGTCAACCCAACACAAGCTAAAGTCATGAAAGAGGAGAGAACCTCAGTTAAGAAAATACTCCCATAAGATGGGGCTGTAGGCAAGTCTA